CTTAACGGCGCGTACGGACGGCGACGCGCGTTTCGGCCGTCGTCCGCACCCCGTCGGCGCGTCCGCGCGCGCTTTTTGTGCGGCGGAGGGTTTATCGTTTTTCGGTCGGGCCGTTTTGTGCTCGGCTTTTCGGTGGGCGGGACTGGTGGGCGCGGCGGCATCGGCGCGTCTCCGCGGCCCGTCTAGCCCTGGGTCCAGCGCGGCCGGGTCAAAGATAAAGTGTTCCGTATGTTTAATTTGACGGTGGGGTTTAAAGAAAAGAAAGAAGGGGTTATAAGCGTATATATTATAGCTTAAGCTGTTAAATGAATCGGCAGGTCCGTCCGGGGAAGGACGGCCTCACAGAAGACCGGCGAGAAGTGGAACTGTTATACTTCTGCGTTTCGTCTGGTGAGCGAGTTAGCCGGGGCCAACGTTATATATATATATCTGTAACCCTAAGGGTTGCAAATGCCCATAGGCGGCGGTTATCATTTAAGCTTAGCCTAGTAGGTAGTTGAAAGACTTATGTTGGATTTACGATTATAGTCTTTGATACTCAGCCGAGATCACCGATAATTTTTCGTTTAGTTGTTAGTAGAGATCTTTAACCGACTTCATTTCTCACTTGTAATCTTTATCTCACTTTTGAGTACATCGTACAACCTTCGTGTTATGGAAGAACACTCGACGGTTAACTTCATTTTTATTTTAGGTACTACAAAGCGTGTTTCAAATCTTCAAATGAATGCGAAGAAAAAAACTCCAATGTAATTTCTGCATTCACATGTTTCGAAACTTCGAAACCACGTACCTAACGCTACATTGGAAAGTGTAAGACGCAATAATTGTCGGGACTATTAAAGATTTCACGGACATTTAGCGCACAGCGAAAAATAATTACTAATATTTGTATTTTGTACGATTTTATTTCTTGACCTTATGCTTTTTTGTGACGCCTAACCTGCTGTTATTCGGACTTAGACGTCGATGTGTTATTCTATTTTTAAAATTTTAATTAGCATCGAATATACACATGATTTTTTGAAAACATCAAACCGTTTATAAAAAAAGGTTGACATTTACTGGTTGGAATATTAACGATCCCGAAGCAAGAATTTTATTAAAAATAAAAATTTTAAATGCAAAGTCAAAACATTAAAAAAAACTCACTACTATAAGAGGTACATCACTAGTAAACGATCGATAAGTTGGCAAGTAACGTCACTACTTCTCAGGGGTGTGTCCGTACCTCGGGCCCTCAGCATTGTTTTGTCCGTCTGTCTGTCGGACGCCGACATGCGCATGTGAATACGGGTTCTTACAAATACACATATAATTTTTACTTAACTCATACCATGGGAAACTGGTCTTAGGAAGCTTGAAGCCTTGCAAAGCATTGTGAATTTGATTATCGTCAATAAACAGACATAAGTTGTCTCATTACTTAGAAATAATTATATCAATCAACGCGTAAAACTTTAAACTACAACTTGATATAAATTATCCTATACTTTTAATTAAGTTTCTATTGAATGGGGTGGAATATTCATAATCAAACACGTTACCCAAATAGAGTTTAAAAAAAAGCTAATTGATAGATTCAAAAATGGTACGCTATAAATTGGTAAGAGAATTGAAAACGGGTCTTTATTCTAAATTCAAAAACCTCCCCCTTTGACCGCGAAGCGTGTGTAGCGATCCGCTGCGATATGCAAAATTGTTTGCTAACCCGCGCTCGTTCATCAAACACTCCGCGGCCAACATAATGCGGGCGCCATGACTCTTATTACCGTTACATAAGTAGCTCAATGGCCCAATTTGAAGCGAAAAGTTCGCATGCAAAACTCGATCTGTAACATACGCCATTGCAAGCTGAGGGAGTGGGTAAGTGCGAAACGATTCGCCTTCGATATTACGATCATTAAGTTGTCAATTGTTTTCTTAATAAGAGTCCAATGCATTTCGATGTTAAAGTGTTAACGTACCAACCAATATATTTGAACAATACAATAAACAGTCATATCGGTTCTTATTTTTGTAGCAGACATAATTATATCAGACAAAAAGACTGGGAAACCAGAGATTTACTTCGACTCCAATTAACTCTTTTCTATAAACAATTCTAATATATGTACGAGTATGTTCTACTTTTAGCCCTCGCAAACTAATGTTTACGCTTACATATTTTTTCATGCTTATAGATTACATTGCATACAATGGATTTCTGCATACATTCGTCTTGTACGCTCGTTAATTGAATATCATTTGTATTTTTTGCCTCGTTGACAGGATAACCGTTAAACGTACTATTAAATATACATGAGGCATTTACGTTAGTAATATATATTTGTTAATGATAAAATACTATTATAGAACGATAGCACAACTAATATAAAAAGTTTAAAACTAATATTCGGTACATTGTAAAAGGAAAGATTTTTAGTCCAATAAAAACTTGAAATCGTTATTGGCCGAAATCTGTGAACTAAAAAAAAATAAAAAAATAAAGAAATATTTTTTTTCTTCACAGAATCAAAATATTATTTATACTATCGACGGGCCGCTCTGAGATAACGCACCCGCACCGCCAAAAAGTCGTGTGGTCAGCCGGTCTTGCGGCGATCTGATGTAGCGATATTAAAGCGGTAATTACAAGTTACCACTGACTATTATCAAGTAGCGACTGGCTTTCATATATTTCACAAAATGGATGGTGAGCCTTCACGGGGTATCGTATGGCCGGTATATTTATTTTATAGATTTATCGCGTCGTTTTGTGCAAGTTGATTTATGAAAGGGGTGTGGGTGTCGGCCGAAATGTGTGTTCGGTATCGTGCATTTCGAGTTTGAATTTGGAACGGTTTCGTGTATAATATCACGCGTTTGCAGTGGAGGCATCCATTATTAGCAAGCGAATTATTGCATTATTAGTTTAGCAGCTACGCAAATAATTCACTTGTGTAGATTTTTAGCAAATTCTTTCCTGAGTTTATTAACTTTATGGCGGACTCATTTTGACTTAATATATACTTACTAATATAGTTACGCGTCTGATTCTATTTGTTTGGAATGTTTAGAAATCAAAGAAGACACACGAAGTATTTTGCAAGAAGACTGCGTTATTTAGTACGCGACGAAAATATCATAGGTTGAACATAATCGTTTACTCTGTACTAATTTCACTTATTTGTGATAAACTAAAGGGTAATTATTATCGTCTATAAATATGCTGATAAAATTATAAAAGAGAGCTGTTTATACCATTATCCATCTCAATAGCGTCCATGAGGATTTTTTTTTTCATTTTTATTTGAAATGTTTGCCAATACAACATGTAAAGCTCCAGTAACCATTGAAGCGATTTGTTTTTTCTACGATAAAGAAAGTTATTGTTGTTGTGAATATTAAAAAGGAAGAATGTAAACATTTCACGAACTTTACGATTTGTAATCTTTTGGCTAACGAAGCAGCGCGTACACGCCATTTTCTTCTGTTACACTGAAATGTAGCGTTTGAAGACTGTGGATCATCTCAGTCCCGATTAATTTTAGTGGGTATTCTACATCATTTTTGGATGCATATGAAACAGATTCGTGAACTTGTCTTACTGTTGTTACGAAATCTCACGCGACTCTCAGTCCGTAAATGAATACGACTTGAATGAATGAATGAATATACTTTATTGCACACAAAAAAAAAACAAACAAAAATGAAAATCTTAATGTATATGTAAGTGACGGGTACAATGGGCGGCCTGGTTATAGTTTCTCATTCTTTGATAGAATAAAAAATGAAAACGAGATAGAAGATATATTTCACTTTACCGATGGTGCAATAGTTTAGGTACCTTTTGTAATATTGCGCGCTGAGTTGTGAATTCGACACCCAAACGGAAAGAAAATGGGATGAAGCCGTTCATAATATGTTGTATCTATTATATAGGTACTTATACGCTTTACAATTTTTTCCAAATCAAGATACATCATTTACCGCTAATAAAGAAATACCGCTTGCCCGTTTGCCCGTTTGTTTCCTTTTCCGTAAAATGATGACAAAACAATATTTGATTCATGACCTTGAATCTAACTGTTTCTGTTGCAGAGATTTATGTCATAACTATTGACGTTTAAGCTAATTTAACGTCTTTTAAAGCTCTCAAACTATGACGTATTTTCCGTTAATGGTTCGGCCTGGAACAATTGAGTGCCGTTTTGTTACTTATTTATCATTTCGTGTATGAATAAAAAACTTGTTAACATAGTTATTATGCTATAAATAAAGCATAATCAGCCAGGTAGTAGCTGGTGTTTACGTAACTTTATATCCGTGCCACTTTTATGTTAGACGTTTATCTCATCGTTGCGATTTAATCTTCGTTATTATGTATGAAATATGCTAGTATACTAAAACTATAAATAGTAAAACATAGATTTTTTTATGTTTTTGAACTATTTAGAACCACCGAAACGAATCTAGAAAATCTTCAATTCATAGCCGCGTAAGATTGCTTATAGTTTATTTTAACATGATAAACTATACGGTGGTAAGGCCACGCAGCAGCCTCGGCTGTTGCACGAATGGGCAGGCCCGTCCGGGTAAGCACCATGACCTCACAGAAGACCAGCGTAAAGTGGAAGTATGACAAATACTTGCGCGTTTCGTCTGGTGAGTGAGTTAGCCGGAGCCCAATTTCCAAAAGGTTGTCAACGCATCTGTAACCCTGGGGTGTAGCAGATGTCCATTGGCGGCGGTATTCACTTACCATCAGGTGAACCGTCGGCCAGTTTGGCAACTTTTCACATAAAAAAAATAGTTGTCAATTATGTATATCAAGATTTTTAAATCAATTCCAAAAGGAATCTACCATATGAGAAATATAATGCAATTGTTACACAACATGAGAAAATATAACTTGGTTTATCGTACGAAGTCGTTACTGACAAGCTACCTGGTATGACAAAAGCTTAAAATCTTCCGTTGAGAAGTTGACCGAAGCTAACTGTACGTAACCTTTGCAGAGAAATGTGGGCTATCGGACGACCCAGGGCTCAGGGTGAACGGGAAAGGGAAGAAGATGCGGAAGCCGAGGACGATATACTCGAGCCTGCAGCTGCAGCAGTTGAACAGGAGGTTCCAGAGGACGCAGTACCTCGCGCTGCCCGAGAGGGCGGAGCTCGCCGCCAGCTTGGGGCTAACTCAGACGCAGGTAGGTTGTGTCACGCCTTCAAATGTAACCGTTTGATTTTTTTATGAGAAAAGTTGCCAGGTGAGCAGACGGTTCACCCGATGTTAAGTGAATAGCGCCACCCATAGACATCTGCTACACCCGACGGTTGCAGATGCGTTGACAACCTTTTGAAAATTGGGCTGCGACCATCGCACTCGCCAAACGAAACGCGAAAGTATTATACTTCCATTTTACGCCGGTCTTCTGTGAGGTCGTGGTACTTAACCGGACGAGACTTCCCATTCGTGCAACAGCCGAGGCTGCTGCGTGGCCCTACCACTGTATATTGATGCGGATTTCGAACCGATTCCAAAAGAGCAGGAGATTCTCGATTCGATTGTAATCGATGTTTGTTACCTCAGAACTACCCCATTTGTGAACCGTTTTTGTAAACTCTTTTTGCATTCGGTTCGGTTTTGTCTCCGATGTGATCGTATGTTAATTACAATTAAACCGCACCTTGAACTCCGAAGATACATAGAAGCACCTGTTAATTTACACACTTGATTAACTGTACCTACAATCTAATATGTTAATGCCTTTAACAAACAAGCTTCTTTTAACATAAATAATACAGTGCATTATAAAAGCTTGAAGACACCGGTTAGAATAAAGTAAAATAACCAAAATAAATGCACAGCTCCCTCTATACAAATATATTTGGGCATAGTCCACTACGCCACACAACTGCGGATTAGCAATTTGCACACATCTTCGAAATATCTTTCTTTTTTATCATTACTTGCTTGTTTAGCCGATATTAGTTAATAAACTTATTATATACAAACCTTTGCATACAAAGTAAAAGATGTTATTAGTAAATCCATAGTCCTGATAAATTGTTAATACATTTGTCAGTTAAATTGATTGGTATGAAATTTTTTTAAAATATCATTGATGCTAAGAAAGTAATGTAAATTTGCCGACAATTGTGAGGTATGTGTTTTTATAAATTTTTCCGAAAGGATGTATCTACACAATGTATGTAAGTAAATACTAAAAAAATCCAATCAAAAACATTTTAATGGCGGCATAACGATAGTTATCTTGAGCCGTTACATTTCACGAAATTAAAAAAAAAACACCACAGACAACGCTTATCCTCGCATAGTAATTATGTCACAAGACTAGTAATTAAACGCCGAGTGCGTACGTTCACTTAGATTTTTTTCTTCGCCACCTAGTTCGATCGACGTGCAACTGAAACGAGACTCTAATATAATAGCGTTAGAAATAAAAATAATGCAAATAGTTTCATCGACACCGGCAGTGGAACGTATTATTAAAAGACATTTTTTCCAATTTCTGTCGCATACAAAGTCGGTTTAACGTTCTAATTACCTTTCCTTATTTCTATTTCTACAACGGTTAGGTATTCCTTTCATACATTTTAAATGCCCACTTTGGCATTTATCATACGTAAAAAATTGCTAATGCATTAGCATTGTATGTTGTCTACACGCTTTTATACCTACTTCAATACAATAAAAAGAAAAAAAAAATAATAATATTAAATATAAATAGACTAACAAAAATATATAATTTTTATATTAAACTGAAAAAAATACATTTTCGCCACATTACAAAATGTCGATTTCTATTTAATGAATCCGAAGCAACGCACCGGCTAAGTACTGCTGCTGTTTAAAAAAAAAACGAAACTGCATCGGTGGCGGCCATTTTCGCTTCCCGCCCGCGTTTCCCGCCGAGCCGCGGCCACAGATAACAACAACACAAACTATCGCCCGATTGGATTCGTTCGTAACAGATTGATTCGTCATGTGTCGCCGTGTAGAATGAATAATCGTTATCACATACATACCGGCGGCCTATCCGTGAGACGGTGGGATTGTAGACCTGACAACGTGTAGAGGGGCTTTCCCTCGGAAACTAAAGACATTAACGCCTCCGCGCATCGTCTTTCACATTTCAATTTATTATCTGTCAGTGCTAAAAAATAATAGAGAAAACAGAAATAAAGAATTGATAAGTTTGGCAGATGGCTCAAGTTCGTGCTTCGTGGAATGATGATAAAGATTAAGTTTAGATTTATAAATTTCTTTTTTGGAATACAATACAGAACAGAATATCTATCATCAGTTCATTGTTTTATTTGAACGTGATGTAACATTTAATTGTTAGAAATAAGTATCGCAATAATAACACAAAAATCTCATCATCACAAATAAGTATATGGTACCTAAATACATTTAAGTAAGACGACACATAATTTAATTAAAAATATGAAAAAACATCTACATTTGACAAATTATTAGTATTTCACATATGTTATAAATGAAAGAAGTTTTAAAATTTATACTTTTATAAAACTTTCTTCAACAAACGTACACAATTTTATTAAAGCTGACCTATCTGCGAGTTCTTACTACTGGGCGCGGTAACGGTATAAAAAGTAATCCGGAGTTAATTTTATTATAATTTAATATTTCCCAGTTATTGTCTGTACGCCGCACTTTGATGAGCCCGCATCAATATTTCGTAGTGCTGCGCTTTATACATCGATGGTTTTAAAAAAATAAATCAAAATCTTGGTAAGGAGTCTGTTTAAAAATACATTTAAATTTCTGAAAATATGGCTGTAATAAATCAAAACAATTTTTAAATATAACGATTAAAATAGAACTAGCACTACTGTATAATTTGTTGTATAACTAGTCATACCGTTGCGTTTATTTAATTACGGTTGTATTGATGTATAAACGTATTGCCTAAGTCATAATAGCATACAGATATTATAATATTTACGTTAGATTATTTGTATTATCATACATATTATTGGAATAAAACGATAGTAAATTGTAACATTTATTTTAAACTGCGGCTTTTGTCGATGTATCATCCCTTCACTACAGCATTCATATTAATATTGCTTGATTCGATTCCAAATTAATGGTGAAAAAACCGAATAGAACCTCTATTCGGTGCCTCTCTTTCTCATAAACTGTGACGACCTAATCGTTTCCCGTAAGTGGAGCGCTATTGACGGACGTTATTTGCAATGTAAAATCATTCTTATTGCATATATCATAAGGGTGCTCGTGAACACCGCGAAAGTGCGATGTGATTTTTTCTTAGTCGACAATAAATCTTGACATTTGTCTCCAGGTGCCGTTTACGACCTATTGTTTCTATGTTCATTCTAACATTGCGTTTCTTAGCTTTTACGCGATTTTTTTCTTCCCTTTTTTGCACACTTGCACAATAATTAACGGATTAAGCATATAAGGTCGGACGTATTAAAAAATTGCACGTCTGATCGGGCCTGAATAATGCGATTACTCGCACGTACCGATGGTTACACATGCTCTGCCGCTGTTTAGCAAAACATATAATTAAGTATGTGACGAAATTTGCCTCTCACGGTGTTTTGCTCCGCTGCCGATGGGAATGCCTTTCTGCGAATCGGGATTTTAAGGTTAGCGAGTATCTGATAATTCAATAATACATGACTATTGTACAATCTCGTATGACAATTTATTCGTATGCTGACGATCCATTGGTAGGCAAAAAAAATTGTGATATTCATATGGTAAGGGAGGTTTGACGCAGTGCATTTTAATTGAAAGTAAATCAATAAATCTTTTAAAACTTAGTCTGCATTTAAATGAATCGTTAGCACCTTCACAATTGATCTCTTTTAGATACAGATCAAATCAGTACAGTAAATTTGTTGCCAGATCTGTATAACTGATTTCACCATGTCATATATTACGAATAGAATGTTTGATCGTTTCGATATATGACTCGAACAGTGAAGACGTTATAAGACGTACTTATAACTGTAAATCCCGGGGTCACCTGCCACGGCGGAGATTACGTAACTGTCGTTGTTCCTTGGAGAAATAAAAGGCGCGAATCAAAGGGGCGACCGCGCCACAATCGAACGGTGGGGCGGTACAAAAAAATCCCATTTGTGATCATCGGTAACGTCATGTCAGAACGAAATGATGATGGATGGCCGTCACGAGGAGACCGGCGTGGGTTAATTCGAATTATGGCGGGAATGAGGCGCTGTGACGAATGTCGAAAGCGCTACCGTCCGCACCGCCCTGTGCTTTTGCCGCCCGCGGCTTTTTAAAACTTTCGCGCGCTTTTTTTTTAATCTGTGGCGTGACGTTTATATAGAAGAATATTGAACGACTTGAACTGAACATGCATTTTGTTGAAGTGGTATTACTATACTGGTGCGCCATTCTGTCAATAATATCTATAATAATATGTCAATAGTATACAATAATTGTTGTGTTAAAACTATATGAACAAAACTATCGGTCTCAATACACAACGATTATTAGTTATCTTTTTTGGATGAATCGAAATAACCTAGAGGCTTTCTGCCCTCTTTGCCGTTTTACTTTTCGGTTTTTTGTCCGTACAGTCGCCTACATAATGGCTGTGCAGCGACAGACGCTACCACGTTACATAGTGAATAGCGACCGAACCAATGGAGTCGGGTGCGGTGCAAAGTGCACAATCATCGGATCAAATAAATGCGAGCCGAGATGACTTTCGAAACCTGGATCGCGGCACCGATTGGCCGTCAAACCGCCGCCGACAGCCAATGGGCGCTCGTCAAACGCGATGACTCTGCGGTTTCAGCGCGGCCGCCGCGGAAAATAAAAGGGGAAAAGGCGGGAGAGGGAAAAAGAACGGCTTCCGTTAAAGTAGCGTCCGTCTTTGTGGGCCGATGACTCGGCGCGGCTTTGTTGCCGACCTCTTCGGATACTGTTACTGCTACGAACCTCGCATAGGATGGCTCAGGGTCCGGGCGCTCGATTTTAATTAAAATATACTCGAGCAACCCGAGTTCGGATCCCGGTGTCGGCAACAATGAGGTTGTTAATTGCACTCTTAAGTGCTGACTCGTCACGTTTTCAACGGTAAAACGTTTATTCATATCATAGAAACAATTAAAAAAAATGATTTTGAAGAGCCAATCCGCAGTGGAGGCGCGTGGTGGACTATGCATTATACCCTCTGTGCAGAGGAGGCCCTTTCCATTATTAGTTACTTTTCTATCGGCCGTGAGGAACGCGGCGGACTGATGGAGAATTGCCTGCCGGTCGAGGTCTAGGGTTCTATGCGCCACATTCAGATTTCAAAATCACACCTTGGGAGCAAAGCATTAGCCGTCTCTTTCCACCGCGTTTGAGTTAAATATTTCAGAGTTAGTAACACATATATCCACACAACGTCGTAAATATTCGTTTACTAGCGACCCGCCCCGGCTTCGCACGGGTGCAATGTATTATACATATAAACTTTCCTCTTGAATCACTCTATCTAGTAAAAACACGCATCAAGATCCGTTGCGTAGTTTTAAAGATCGAAGCATACATAGGCACAGACAGACAGCGGGACGACTTTGTTTTATACTATGTAGTGATGTGCAAACTGCGCAATCAGTTTATTATGTAATAATTATCGAATTTCTAATAGATAATTTCACTACAAACGACAGCTATACATGACGTGTTAACAAAAGAATTGCGCTCTATACTTTAATTATATATATACTTTAATTGAATACTTTAATTGTAACCCTTCATAGCAGGTATAGATAAGAGCAACCGGGTCCACACAAAACGAGTCTAAATTGAAAAATCGTTTTCAATTGTAAACAATTAACTTTAATTAAGCGACTTCGGCCCGTCCTGTCTTTTATTGTTTTAGGTTAAAAGAAACAAGAACAGTTTATCGTAAATTGACCAACGCCACAAGTCGCATTTAACGGAAAGTGATTTTAATTTTAAGACCAACGAAAACAGTATTTAGACAAAGTAGGTTCTTAGAATCGATTAGTGTGTAGAAGTAATGCAATTTTCACATAAAACACAACTGAGGGTATGAAACCTGTAAGTTTCTTGATATCTAACACGTACAAGAACTTAACCAAAACAAACTTCCTCCACATTGTCTTGTATTTTAAATTATTGTTTTTGCTTATGCTCCATGATATGCAGTCTTATTTTCTTATAAAATAAATAATACATCTAGGTAAAGTAAAAAATATGCTAATACAATTTTACAAGAAAAAATAGACTTCTACTAGAACGACTGCTCGCATAGACTAAATCACTGAAGCGGTTATTCTCAAGAAATGGGCATTGATAAAATAGATACACTAGATTCGAAAAGTCTTTTCGGATTCGTGTATGACCGCATTGATTGCTCGAACCAACAGAAGTGCGGTCAACAGCAGCGGTCGAGGAATACACGAGATTTCATTACGATTGCGCACGACGTCCGGGGCGGCGGGCGAACGAACATAATGAATGTAATGAATAAATAATGAATAGTTCTTTGCGGAATAATGTGTAACGCCCATGTGATGCGAAACTGAACGCCGGTAGCCGCGAACAAGATACCGGGCGTAGCGTTGCTGGGAAAGTTGTTGATGAATAAATGATTTTGATTTTTTTTTATTTTTTGTTAGTACGCGTTTGGTTTTTACGTGAGATGGCGGCAAGTGGTTGGTTTTCCCGATGTTAAATGATAACCGGCGTCCGTTGACATCTGACACACGTAGGGTTGCAGATGCGTTGCCGCCTTTTAATAAAGCGGGCTCCAGCAATTTTTTTTTGGGCTGGATGAGCCACTGTTGGCCTTAAGGGCCTTTACAGTTCCGACGGGCTTGAGGTGGCCTGGCGCACGAAGCGCCTAGCCTGAACCTCGGCAAAGGGCTCCGGCAACCTCACTAGACGAAACGCCGAAGTATATCACTTCCACTACACGCCGGTCTTCTAACCCGGAGAGACCTGCCCATTAGTGCAACAGCGAAGACTGTTGCGTGGCCCAATCACTGGAACAACTAAAAACTTTAACCGCGTGTTGTACTCGGAATGTTTACAGATACCGGAAAACGGTCTTCCCATATCTGACGAATCATATAGAAAAAAACATTTCTCAGGTGCACAAGACCGCAGATCGTAAATGGAATCACTCGAAGGAATATTTTCAGTTCAGTAAAAAATATGTGACTTTTTTCTACTTTTCCTCATGCTGCAACATAACATGAAGGTCGATTCGACGTTCACGCTTGCGAAATAAACCGTTTGAAATTTTTATCCTATAAAAAGTCCTTATATCTATCCATCTCTAGGAAGTCCAGAACTAGAAAATAGCACTTGTAAAACAGTTGGTCGTATTTAATTCTATAGATGAAATTTGTTACCACTCATAAGCCCTTAGCGTCGAGGATTTCTTTAGAACTTTTAGATCTCAGGCTCAACTATATCTGTCATTAGAAAAAAAGAAAGAAAGAAAGAGATTTATTTGACATAAAACAGACCGACGTATACAACAATGATTAAAAAAAATAAAGTTAGACGAAAAAAAAACATGAACATGAACAAAAAATTGGGGAATACAGTCCCGAGTCCAAAAAAAAATACCAATACATTTATCAAAAGAAACGAAGAAACTAAAATTATAATAAAATAGAAACTCAAAAAACAACAAAAATGGGAAAGTCAATTAGGATCGGAAATGTATCCACCAATCCATTACACTCGTACATAATACGTATACTCGAATTTATATTATACATCTAATATCTCAAAACATGCATGAGTCAGCATCCTTATTATGCCGTAATGAAATCAAAAATTACGACTGCAACAAAACGATAATGTTTGGCCAATTTTATCGCCGCTTATTACGTACACTGTTGTAAATACTGGACGCCGCTATCAAGCGAGTTGTCCCAACAAAGCTTCCTGTCAACACTTGTCGACATAACAGTACTTAGTCGGGTCCACTTAGCACTGAAACACCAACTAGCCGGCAGGTGGCGCCATCGCTTATCAGGTTTGTATCTAGTTCATATTATCCGGGTATTACCCGCCGCTAAATACCAGTAGCCAAGGGCACAAACACCAGTGTTGGGGCAAATATCCCTTTATGGCCAACCGCTCCCCTGGGAGAAAAAGGTCAAATACTTAGGAGTCACTTTCGACTCGCGTATGTCATTTACTACGCACATTAATAACGTTCGCAATAGAGCCGCGTTCGTCTCCAGCCGGCTACACAATTTAAATAACGCTAAAAGTAAAATGCCCTTAAGGCACAAATTATTATTATATAAGACCTGCGTACGACCTATTATGTCTTACGCATGCAGGACCTTCGCCCACACGCACCCTACTCGCTTGTACAAGTTGCAAATAGTACAAAATAAGTTCATCCGCCGCGCAACCGGTGCGCAGTGGTATCAAAGCAACGTCGACCTGCACAGCGATTGCAGACTCCCGACGATTCGCGAATATTTTAAAGACCTGACCAAACGGTTCTTCGATAGAGCCGAACATCATCCCAACCCTCTGGTGGTAAGCGCAGCAAATTACCAACCGACCAAAACGCGAACGTCAACAAGCGTCGCCCGCCCGAAACGCAACGTCCTAATCGACCCGGTCGAGGAAGGGGACTTAGACACGCCGGACCCACTGCCGGGGGTCCCGCCGGACAACACTACACCCACAGTTAGTGCAACAACAAACACACTAGTTCGCCCTCGCCTCCGAGCACGGCGAGACCAACACAACGCGTAGACAAGGTACACCCGCGTTCCGGGGCGGTTCTCACCGCCCCCAGCCACCGATTAGCTAATTGCACAGTCGACGGCCATCGGGGTTTCGGTCCGAACCACGACCTCGATGGCCCTTAGATGACGTACCATAGTTAAACGCACGCATGAGCACATGCGCGGCCCTACCCACAGCGGAGGGCCCAAACCCGTGGGTTTTGGCTAGCCCACCGGTTCTGCGTCAGATGAAGCTTTAATAGTCTCGGGACTGAAAGCAAAAACATCAGTTAATACAAGATACAAGATACAAGATACAAGATACAAACACCAGTCGAACTAAGTGCCAACGATATCGACGTCAAGTATTAAGTTTAATAGCGTTAATGGATCGATACGATTTCCGTGTGTATCTAATGAATTTTGATGAGCCAATTGATGTCGTTGAAGATGTCGTAGAATCAATACATAAAATGTAATCTCGCTTACTCGATTCTGACTATTATGTATGAATAAATGTATGAATACTGAAGATGTATGCCGAAAGCTAGTAGTGATTAAAAGTTTTTTTTATTTGATTAAAGTTATATTTATTAAATTAATAAAGTTTGGGCGATCGCGAAATTCCGCCGCTCATTGTGGATGACAATACCCGAGCCAATCGAGCTGTCATTATGTTGCTAACTTTTAAACAGTTGGACCTCATGAAATTTATGAAACGAAACGCAAAACTGTTAATACCTTCTGCGAAGTCTTGGGACTTTCTCGATTCATTCATGCAACATTTTCTATTTAAAAATCACCGCGTGACATTTCCTCTATTCTACGACACCGCTTCACATTTCTGTCACAGTTAAAGGGATTAGCGAATTTGAGAAACATGTTCAGAGTAATTAAGAGTAATAGTGAAATTGTGTTAGCTATTTTAACATATAATTTTAAGCATTCACCACTTTGAGGCCTGAATTTCTAGGGAACAACTGTACAGCACTATAGTAGCGAGATACCTTAAATCCACTATTGTATATTATATTGTTATCTTTGTATCAATTTCTTATTAAGAATAACCTTAATAAAATAAACAATCATTTTGTGGTAATAAATGAATAAGTCTCATGAAACCGTTGAGTAAAAACAAAAAAGGGCATTTGAAAAGTCACGAAGTCA